GTTTACAATCTAAAAGTCTGAATCTAAAATGCATCCTTTCCCCCCGCCTATTGTTTTCATTTTTACAGAATCAAACAATTCTAAAGACCTTTCTGGAAAACAAAATAAGAGGAAGGGAATAAAAGAGAAACATCAAGAGATTCAGAGATGCTATTAAGTCGAGAATTTTTGTGGATCCTTAATTATTTTCCACAAAATGATTCAAAGGAGCAAAATTAACTTTCCTCGCAGGTTAGGCCCAATTCATGCTTGTTTGTGGAACAACAGAAAAAATCACATCTATTGCCTAAATTAATTAATCCAGGCTTACCGTAATTAGCTTCCTTGGGATCTGGGAGCATGTCAGTGCCTCAGGGCCAGCTGATTTGGGGTCTAATGGCTTCTACAAATACAAGACTTTGTTAAAATGCTAAAAATCCAGTTGGCTTCACTGTGTAGCTAGTATGGCTTCCCCCACCGCATTTCCACCCCATACCCCAAATATTTTCTCAATAAATTTCTTAGGCAAGGTGTCTAGAAAACAGTTAGAACTAGCATTAATGCTGAAGATACCCCCCCATTCTCCAAAGGCAGAGAAAACAAGACATGATTACAGTATAGACAATGACAGCAACCAAATCAAAAGCAGCTTGAAGAATCTGTGACTCCATCTTGCAATCTCTCCTTTTCCCTGAGTATAAATAGCTCTCACATGAAGCTGGCTAGAGACACTCGGGAGGAAAAAAAAATACAGCAGGCATCCCTGCAGTTTCCTCTCTGCTGATTACAGAAATCTGCCACCTAGTGGCTGAAGATGGCACCGAAGAACACAGATTAAGCTATCTTATTTTATCTGTTGTAAGTCACCTTGGGTCCCCTATGGGAAGAAAGGCAGCAAATTAACTAACTAACTTAAATTAATTATTCAGTTTTAAAAATTAAATTCTTCAGACCTGCAAACTCTTAATCCTGCTAATGTGCACACCAAGTATCAGCTATCTGAAACGTTCAGCTATTTATACACAAACAAAAGAAGGTACTCCTTGACAAAATGAGTGCAGGACAAATATTTGGACTACCAAAATCTGTCAGATATATGCCAATGAAACAATGTGTAACAATGAAAAACCAGACTTCCTCTAGTCAATGCATTCTGTGTGTTAACCAAGTCATTTCCTTTACCTCAATCACATGTGGACGGACGGGTTTTCGTTCTTTTTTACTCCTGACAATACTCTTTATAAATTTTTCTATTTCTTTTGCAGCGGTGGGCATCTGCTGGGGTGTAGCATTCAATGAACACCTACAGAAAAATGGAACAGATCTAGTTACATACACAAAAAGGGGACATGTACAAGAAGCCCTTTTTTTTAAAACAACAAAGATACCTTTCCAATCCCTTCCAAACAAACTGGCAAAATGCAACCCAGAGGCCTCTAGACATGTACAGTTTGACTTCTACAGGTCCTACAGCCTTCCCCAGGTCCCTTCTTAGGCCAGAAAAGGTAATCTTTTTGAAAGAGGAAGGTCACAGCAGATCACGGGGCAAAGCCTCACCGCATATTGTCGTTGTTTAAGAGGTACTTCTTGATTCGTGGCAATTTGCGAAGCACAGGCTTAAGATCGGACATTTCTGCAATCCGCTTCATCAGTTTTACCTGGAGAGAATTAAGGAAGGAGGGGAGTTAAGAGTGAAACACACCGATCTATGAAGTTCTGAAACTCAGGACCATAAGGGTCTCTCAAGGAGACAACCTGACGAAAGATGGTGATGACGACTGGGGAAAATCTACTTGTTGCAATAGGTATACCTTGAAACGCTGAAGAAGAGACATTGCTAGGAACAAAGGCAGCCCCAAGCAAGGTGAGGGGTGCTCCGTGATAGGACAAGGGTTTTAGATATGAGCTACTAAACAGGTATGTACGGTCTTCAAGTGATGTAAGCAGTCCTAGCCTAACCCCTTCTTGTGATCCGCACCAGAGGGTTAGACTGGTCTCTCCTGAACCCAATGTGTTGCTCCCACAGTCCAAAAAAAAAAAAATGCTGCTGGAGAA